TATTCATGGGAAAAAAACCGCCATCTCCATGACCACCAAAAGGGAACACTCAAGCAGGAAGCCAAGTGTCGCAGAAGGAACAGTTAGCTTCAGATTTGGATTTCAGATTCCCCATTACAGATGAAGGGGCCTGTGAACAAATTCCTTAAAATTGCCAAAACTGTATAAATGAGAGGGTTGAATTAGATTTATGGTTTTTAAACTGTGGTCTGAGTTTCCACAGAGCTACATAAGGGTCCCTTACCAGTGCACACGTTGTAAAGACCTGACTGAGCAGGTCATTCCCACTTCCTCCACCCAAATATCTATTCATATATGGTGAACAGCATAAAATTTCATATTTAAAAAGGGCCCAGTTGATAAAAAGACCGAACCACTAGATCTTTTTACTTGCAATGCTTTTCCCCCACCCTTTGACTTGCTAACTTCTACTCATCAGTTTAAACGTCATCTCTTTGGGGCACCTGAGTGGCTCAGCTGGTTGAGCGTCCGACTTTGGCTCAGGTCATAATCTCATGGTTCGTGGGTTCAAGCCCCGCACCGGGCTCTGTGCTGACAGCTCAGAGCCTGGAGCCTGTTTCGGATTCTATGTCTCCCTCTCTCTCTGCCCTCCCCCACTCCTGCTATGTTTCTCTCTGTCTCAATAATAATAAACATTTAAAATAAATAAATAAATAAATAAATAAATAAATAAACATCATCTCTTCAATGAAGCCCTCCCTCAGTGACCCATCCCCCCATCTAAATTATGCACCCCTCTTCTCCCTGCCATTTCCTCTCATCATGCTATTCCCCCTGTATTCTATTAATGATTTAATGTCTCTCTCCCCCACTCTAAGCCCTGTGAGAGCAGAGTTTTGCCACTTTCACCCAACCAAAAGACAGTTGCCAGGACCCTTCCAAATGCTGTGGGAGTCAAGTCAGATCTGAGGCCATCAATTACTTAATGAACATTTATTGATAGGCTAAGAGACACAGAACTATGGGAAGAAATATCTCATTTTCACATCTTTCCAAAAAGATAAAAATAATTCTTGCTCTCAATAAAGTCACCATCCACAAAGAAGACTGATACGATAAAACATAAAAATGTTATGTGATGAGTGCTATGATAGAGGTCCCTAAAATACTAAGGAAACACAGAAGAGGAACTAACTCTTGCTTTCAAAGGAAAGGGAAGGTTTCAAAGAGGAATGATACGTGAGTTGGATACTGAATGAAAAAACAGGAGTTTATAAGGTAGAAGGAGAGAGGAGGGCTTTCTGGATAGAAGCCCTTGATATTTCTATTATATAATATTGTTTTATCGTGCAAAGGAGGGAGCGATGGTGATAGCAGTGCCTAGAATAGAACAGAATAATATGAGAGTAGCAAAGGTGGTATATTTGGTGGGATCTGAACGTCATGCTAAGAAATACACTCTGTCCTGAGAATAATGGAGAATATTAGGGAGTGTGTGTGTGTGTGTGTGCGCGTGCATGAGCACACGCGTGTGGGTACATGCTCATTCAATTTGTATTGGGAAAACCAATAGCATGTGAAGGTGGAAGTTGGAAGTCAAAGACCAGTTTTCAGGTACTGTTTCTCATAATCCAGTAAAATCAATTTAACTAGTGACATCTTAAATTTTTTCTTTAAAACGAATTCAAATGGAATAGAAAATATCAGAGATTATCTAACATTGTAAGGACAAGTTTTACAAAACTGTAGTATCAGAAACGTGTGTGTTCTGGGTTGCAAAGTAAAATTCATTTGTTACTGTGGGTCATGAGCAAAAAGTTTGAATGGGTGACTGGTGAGTGACTAGATGAAGGGGGTATGGGAAGAGTCAGGGAGGTCTCCCCAGTTTCTGGTGTAGACACCTGAATAGTTTGCAATGCCATTGCCCAAGACAGGGAACAGAGGAGGAGGCCTGCTTTTATCAAGTCCACATTTGGATGCAGGAAAGCTAGACAGCAACCTCTCTCAACAATTTCTGAGCAGCCACAGTCAATACTAATCTTATTCGGCAAAGACAAAGGACACACAGTCATTGCAGCTGCTACAAGTTCACATGAATATATAAGGCCCCTCTAGAAACCGGAAATATACAAAAAATCTTGGGAACTAGAGAAGGCAGACAGGATAAGGGAATCATCAATACCTTCTCCAGGGGAACTAAAAGGATGTGAGAAATCCTGTCCCTATTCTAAGAGCCAACAGGGAGCCATCACCCTTGGGAACCTAAGGAAGTTTTCTGAAGAGTTCACTGCCAGGATATTCTGTTTATTAGGGTTTTCCCCCCCTTGGGGGATGGGGCAGATTCTTTCTACTTTTATGACTGCTTTCTAAGCCTCCCAACCTTTCCCTCATACTACCACCTACAGGAGGTATTTCAACCCTATACATCTGTAGCAAGTCCACTGAGCCCTGTAATAATGGACTCGGCTATCTTTCAGTTACCCTCTTAGAGTTTCAGGCTAAGAGAATAGGGCTGGAAGAACATAGCTTCTCCACAGACTTGGAGTGGATCCATTACTCCTCCTAATACCCCTACCCCTCAGAACAGAAAGTTTCCCCAATTCTTCTTGGAGGATAACAGCACAAGTGGGCCCCAAACTACCTTTATGGCAACCTTTCCCACTAAATTCCCCCATAAACCTGCCCCAGACACTTCAGATAACTGGATGTCCTCAAATATTCCATGTCCTTGTTCATATATCCTGGGTGTTTTTCCTGTTATTCCCTCAACCTAAAATGCCCACAGAAATTCTACTCACCCTTCATGGTACATCTCAATGTCATCTCTACTACAGAGCACTCTTTATCCAATACTGCCCCTCTTCCACAGCCAGCACCAAATTTGAATTTAGTTATACCTCCTTGTCCTTCCAGAGTATCTGTTTGTGCCTTGGGCACAGCACTTCTTTCACTGTCATCCATTACGGGCAATTGTACTTCCTTCCTGTTAACTGCTAGATGATGCACACCACGTCATACCCTTCTCTCCAAAGCCCCACAGTCCTTAAAACACAGTAGGTCCCCAATAAGAGTTTGTTGATTCAAACTGGAAAGCTGCTGATTCATTCCACTAAAGACTGCAGATGGTGAGAACTAAAGAGAGAGGGTGGAGGGGAGACCAAGTGTAGATTTGAAGCAGACAGCCTCCCTCCCCTTACTTAACTGGTAGTAAGTAGTACTCCCCACTCCTCTGAGAAAGGAAACTAACCTCAGCAAGGAAGACGCAGCAAGAGTGTCTGGAAACAGTGGCTATCTTGAAAGAACTGTAAGTAGTTTCAAGGTTCTCCTGGCTTCTATTAGTCAGGGACTGACCTTGAGATGTGGTCACAGGGATTATATATTTTATTTTGCCATCCACTCCCTCTAACACTCTGATACCTCTAGCTATATGGGAAATAAAGAGCCTTTCATACAAGCTCTGAATATTATCTTTGAGCTCCTCTGGGAACAGCCTAGCCTCCTCTGAACTCTTCCACCTTTCCAGTGAGTAATTCTACAGTGCCACCTCTGCAGCCTTTTCCTCTTGAAAAAGTAGTTTTCCTCTCAGGATACCCAGCTTCCCTCCCTAAACCTTTTCCTAACTTCACCATTTGGACAGAGGTAGTTTGCTTTCACAGCTATGTGACTAAAAGACGTGGTACATTTCAAAGAATAGCAAAATTAGTAAAGGTTTTAATAGTTGCGACTTCCTCTGTGATCCCACAGGCACTACTTAACTAGGTCATTCCAATTTATCACTCACTATTTTAAATATCTTCTCTCCTGGGGCTCCTGGGTGGCTCAGTCAGTTGAGCATTCAACTTTTGATTTCAGCTCGGGTCATGATCTCATGGTGCATGGGACTGAGCCCCACATAAGGCTCTGTGCTAAAAGCGTGAAGCCTGCTTGGGATTCTCTCTCTCCCTCTTTCTCTGCCCCTCCCCTGGACTTGCATGTGCACGCTCTCTCTCTCTCTCTCTCAAAATAAATAAATAAAAATTTTAAAAAAGAAAAAGAAATTAAATATCTTATCTCCCTCACTAGACTGTGAGCTTCTTGAGAACCACAACCAGTTCCCAGCAAACTCCCCAGGACATAGTGTGCACTCAATGAAGTACCCGCTTAGAAAAAAATAACTTGAAATAAATTGCCACCTTATGCCCCTTAGCCAATCTCAGTGACTATGTGAGTTCAGAAGAAATACTTCAGAGGTGATCAAAACCAAAAAGTCTTTATATAGTAGTCAGTCCTGTGATGCAAAGCTCAGCTGAAGGCAGTCTCAAACAAGGGTCCTTTTGACAGGGCAACCATTCCCCACGTTCCTCAGATACTCACTATGGTCAAAGTAGTAAACTTAGTTCTCCAGAATTTACTTTCCCAAGATCTGGCAGTTCAATAAATGCATTCCCCAGCCCCCACTTCAACGTCTCTCCTATATCCTTCTGACCTTTAATACTGTGTAACATTAGATGAAAAATTGATTTTTTTTGGCTACTTAATTTGCAGCTGAAGAAAAAATATACTGTTTAAGGTGTTAAATATTTTTACATGCAACAAACCTGGCACAAATCTAACCTGTATGCACATTTTAGAGGTACAGGCGTAAATGTCAGTGCTATAATTTGTTATAAGTTTCTGATGACCAGCAATGAAAATGACCACGGATTCTCACAATTCAAACCACTTTTACGTAAATGTGAACTTTCCTAAAACAGCCAAGGGAGAGAACTTTCCATGCAAGCTCATAGAGTCTCTAAGAGATACTGATAGCATTGTTCACTGGGTTAGGTGTTCTTTGAGAAAAGCCTACAAATATTAGTTTCTTTCTGGGACTATGCTTTGACCTTTAATAAAAATGTGCTTTAAGACACTACTTATTAAAATGAAAGGAATAGTTTTTAATGCCTGAACAACTGCCATTTCATATATTCAGCCCTGCTGAAGGCTATACCTTACAAGTCAGCAGTTTCAAAAAAAAAAAAAAAAAACATTTGGTGACTTTACTTAAATTGCTCACTTACCAGACGTGAAGCAGAGTTATAAGAAACCATGAATTGAATGTATCAGGCATCTGACACCCTAGAAAATAATAATAAAGTATGAATATGTGACAGTTCAGAGGATATTGACTATATTTTAAATATTGTTAGGAATCTGTTCAACTACAATATATGGCAGTTACAGTGCTCTCTGATTATGCTACCATAGAGAGGGCCAGTGGAACCACAGGATAAGACTATGAGTTGAAAGAGTATTGAATGCAGTCAGACAACAAGCCCTCTAGTTCCAGCGCTGTTACCACTTTGCTGTGTGGCCTTGGGCAAATCACTTTTCTTCTCAGAAGCTGGTTTTCTCACTTTGTATAATGTGGCCTAGATGATCTGTATGGTTCCTTCCAACTTACATGCTATTTTCCCTTCCTGGTCTCGAATTCTTCTGGAAAGCTAGGAAGACACTACTTTGCCTACCCCAATTAAATACAGGCTTTTTTCATTTGAGCCCCACTAAGTCTAAGTTGTTCTAGTTTCTTTTTCCTGTCTTCCTTAAGGCGACCCAGTGTGCTAGGAACATGGGAATGCTGAATGATTCATCCAAAATAAATGACCAGAAGAAAGAAGTGGGGCTCTAGGGAGCAGTAGTTGAATAAGAAAGCAGATTGTATCTAATGAAAGGCCATTCAACAACCTGCAGGAATGATAAAATTGGGCTTTAAGATACCAAAACTCAGGTCAGTGCTGAGACATCCAAACCTCTTAATTCTCAGATCTCTAGGAAATGCCTCTGGCTAGATGAGGGGTCTTGCACTGAATGCTGAATGTGCCCACCCTGTTATGTGACAGGGAGATAAGCTAGAGCAAGAAGACAAAGAAAAATGAGTATCAGTGGGAAATGTGGGCCCTTCGGGCAGAATCAGTCTTTTGGAGCAATAACTCAGGATAAAAGGCATATATTCTGCCTTGCAGCAAACAATGAAGTATACAACGCACTAAATGATAACAAAAAGGGGCCAGTAGGAGAAAAAACACAGGGCAGGACCTCTGTGAAGGACACTAATACCACCAATAATAATAAAGAGCCATAATTCCTTGTAAGCTTACTGTGTGTGTGAGACATTATAAATGGCGCTTACAGGCATGAACTCAATGAATCCTACCAAGCCTATGAGGTGGGTATTAATATTACCCTCATTTCTCAGGTGAGAAAATGGACTCTTAGATCATGACCACTGCCCAAGGTCACACAGCTATGAAATGAAACATCTGGGATCAAACTCAGATCTGCTGGATTCCAGGCACCACAGTCTTAATCACTAACTGCTTCCCTAATACTATAATCAGAACCTAACATTCACTAAGGGCCCATACTTCCTGCCAGGTCTACCACTAGTCATGTCAATAATTATCTCACTTAATCCTCACTTTAACCCTGAAGGGAGGTATTGTAATATTCATTTTAGAGGCTCAAAAAGGCTAAGTAACTTGAGGGCAGCCACAATATTAACAAGCTAGCGGTTGGGCTGGAGTTTAAGTCCAAGTCCATCACAAAGTGACACCAAAATACTCTGGTGAGTGTACTGGGAGGTGCCCAGCAGTTGTCAAGTGGACTTCCTCTTGGAACCCAGCAGGAGGGAGGTGAAGGCTGGCCTGGCCAACCATACAGCTATTAAGACACATGCCATCTGAGAGTGGGCCAACCACCCTCCACCTAGAACAAGAATAGCCATGAGAAACTCTCAAGCCCAGATCTGAAGTTGGGTCTTTTTTGGATGCTAGAACAAAACATTAAAAAGAAAAGTTTTCTTGGAAGTCTGTCTTTCAATCTGGAAAATGAAATTTGGCTGCTTCTAAAGGACAATCTGTTCAATTGCTACCTCTACATCAAAGCTTCTCAGCAGCCTCCAGGAGCCTTTCCAATTTTCTCAGAGAGGGAATCAGTTCTTGGGCTGGAAAGCAAAGACAGACAGACAGGCCAGCAGCTGGACTTGGGTCACAATTTTCCATTCTGGGGGTCGGCTTAGGGCTGAGGATGGGAAAAGAGCTGGCATATTGACTCCCTGTACCTACTGGGGTCAGAACAGAAACCCATAGAGTCAAGCCCTAAAAAACAAGACCACTGAATGTCTGACCATGAGCAACGCAAAAGCACAGCAGATCTTTAGCTGGATATTTAAACACTTCAGAGTTAAAATCTGTTACTGTCTTTTGCCACAATCACACTCTTGCAACAATATACGTTCAGTGCATTATTTTCTGAGACTGTGTACTTTCTTTCTCAGTACCAGGCTGGATAAAATTAGTAATTCATTGCTCCTATGGACTGGCAGTACTAACACAGTTATTTTTTTAATGCAGGTTCTAGGGTCAGACCTCCTGATTCAAAACCTTGACTCTACCTCTTACTTGCTATGTGACTCTGGGTAAAGTAGCTTAGCCTTCTTCATGCCTCAGCTGTCTTCTCCATAAAAATGGGGAGAACAGAAGAACCTACCTTAACAGGATTTGTGAGGACTAAATGAGATAAGGCCTGTAAAACGTTTAGCAAGATGGTTAATAGTTAATACGTACTAATAAATATTCACTATGGTTGTTTCTCAGAATTATTTAAACACTAGAGTTTAAAATATCTTAAATAGGTCACTATTTAAGACTGTGTCAATAAAATGATGAACCTCAATCACTGACTCAGAACTTACTCATTAAGGAGCCTCTTCTCCAAGGTAGTCTCTTAAGAGCTAAAAACAAAGCAGTTTTCAGACAGTATGGAAGGAATTAAACACAAACTTTACCAATTGGGCCCCTCTGCTCCAAACTGCTCTTCATAACAGAACTGATCTCCAGAAGACCAGTTAGCAAACGACTGTATGCTCACAGAGGGTATGCTCATTTATGTCACAAATGACATATACTATCAGAACATCTTGAAGACAATATGTGACTGGCTATTAAAGTTATCTCACCAGTCAGAATCCCCAGTGTGTACGCCTCTGGATCAAGACTTTTGAACACTCTGGCTCTGAGATGACAGAGAGTCTATAACTTGGACATTTTATTAGGGCCTATCACAAGCACATTGTTAGTGAACAATTCATTCTTATACAATCTTTGTGAATTAACACTGGCTTCACTTTTGTTGGAAGAGTGAGGATGACAAGATTGAGCTACCTAAGCCTCTCTATCCTTTTTAAAAAGTACTGAATGGTCAGGACTCTAAAAGTCAAGTCCTTAAATACTAAATATCGAAGGGAGCAACAGCCACTTTAAAGGTGTAATCTTGGGAAGCAATATATATATTCTCTTCCTTTATCCCAAACCTATCTGGCCTACCCTTTAGAATCTTTCTTCAGAAGATACAAGGGGCACCTAGGCGGTAGGTTAAGCGTCCGACTTTGGCTCAGGTCATGTTCTCACGGTTCATGAATTCAAACCCCACGTTGGGCTCTGTGCTGACAGCTCAGAGCTTGGAAACTGCTTTGGATTCTATGTCTCAGTCTCTCTCTCTTTCCCTCCCCTGCTCCTGTTCTCTCTCTCTCTCAAAAATAAATTAAAAAAGAAAAAAAAAATTTAAAAGAAGACGCAAGAAAGGCAGTCTCATTGTTTCACTGATATTTATCTGCTTCCAAATGGTATTTACCAGATTGGCTCCCTTTTTTATTCACTTGCCACAGCTTGGAACCACTATGGTTTGATTTTAAAATTTAATCTACCCAAAAATGACAAAGATGGACCATAATGGAACATAATATAAATGAACAAGCTATAAAACTAAAAGGTAATTCTCAGGGCACCTGGGTGTCTCAGTCTATTAAGTGTCTGGCTTCAGCTCAGATCATGATCTCACAGTATGTGAGTTCAAGCCCCACATTGGGGGCTGTGCTGTGCTCTGCTGATAGCTCGAAGCCTGGAAGCTGCTTCAGATTCTAGGTCTCCCTCTCTCTCTACCTTTCGCCCCCCCCACCAAAAAAATACATAAAACATTAAAAATAATAATGAGTGGGCTGCCGGGATGGCTCAGTCGGTTAAGCATCCGACTTCAGGTCAGGTCATGTTCTCTCAGTCGGTGGGTTCCAGTCCCACATTGGGCTTTGTGCTGACAGCTCAGAGTCTAGAGCCTGCTTCAGATTCTGCATCTCCTTCTCTCTCTCTGCCCCTCCCCTACTTGCTAGCGGACGCGCTCTCTCTCTCTCAAAAGTAAATAAACATTTTTAAAAAATTTAATAATAATAATAAATAAATAAAAAGCAATTCTCAAACTGAGTCCAAAAAAACCTTAATCAAGGGGCGTCTGGCTGGCTCAGTCAGTAGAACATCTGACTCTTGATGCACGGTTATGAATTCAAGCCCCACACTGGGCATGCAGCCTACTTTAAAAAAAGGAAACAAAAGAAAAAACCCAAAACAAACAAAAAACTTAAGTAAGTGGGGTATCACTGAAAAATGTACTGCCTCCCCAGGTAACACTTTAAAAGGCAAAGCTGGAACAAAGTTCACTGAGGCATTTGTCCTCTAATACATATCAGTTTACAATACTAATAGAATATCTCCTAGAGGAGTTCTCATTTAAAAACAATAAAATACAAAAAAAAATTAAGATGGATTACAATTTATAATTTACAGTTACATTCATTCATAGGCAATATGTTATAGTGGAAAATTCCTGGCCTTTAAGCCAGACAACACAGGATCAGCCTTAGCTAAGCAATTTTAGGAAATTATGTAGTCTCTTTACACTTCGACTGTTTATGAAAAGAAAATAAAAATGCAAATAAGAATACAAGTCTTTCCAAACCCATAAGGCTTTGTAACTCCTAAATGAAACACATGTAAAAGTATATCATGTGAATGTGGATTATTCACATACAATGGTAATAATTTTTAAAAACTTTTATTTTTATAAGTAGTCTACAACAGATTATAAACTGAAACATGGTATGTTACCTTAAATATGTAATAATGATCTCATTATTCAATCTATAATATTAACTCAAGGATCTTCAATAATGAGGACTGGCTAAGACAGATAGCTAGTAAACATCCTTTTAAAATAATTATGAAAATTTATGAGTTACTTTTGAAATCAAATATTAAATAGATATCTGAGGATTAGGTTTTAAAAAGATCTGATGAGGGATGTCTGGGTGGCTCAGTTGGTTCAGCATCTAACTCTTGATTTCGGCTCAGGTCATATCTCATAGTTCATGGGATCAAACCCAGCATCAGGCTCTGCACTAACAGCACAGGGCCTGCTTGGGATTCTCTCTCCTTCTCTCTCTCTCTACCTCTCCCCTGTTCATCCATGCACATTCTCTCTCTAAAAATAAAGTTAAAAATAAACAAACAAACAAATAAATAGATCTGATGAGGGGTGCCTGGGTGGCTGTCAGTTAAGCATCCGACTTTGGCTCAGGTCATGATCTCAGTTTGTGGGTTCGAGCCCTGCACCAGGCTCTGTGCCCTGGAGCTTGCTTCAGGTTCTGTGACTCCATCTTTCGCTGCCCCTCCCCCACTCACACTCTTGTCTCTCCTTCTCAAAAATAAATAAACACTAATTTTTTTTTAAACATCTGATGAAAAATAATTGGGGAAATGTATTCCAAAAACCACTTAAGAAAACTCCAGGGGCATGTGGGTGGCTCAGTTGGTTAAGCGTCCTTATGTACCTTTTGACCCAATTATCCTTCAACAGAAAGAAAACAAAATCATTAGGCATATGCCAGGGTTAACCAAAACAATTAAAAACTAGAAATAAAAGGGCAATGATTGGCAAAAAAAAAAGTTCATTTTATGTCAAAATGCTAAGTAAAACATCCAGAATGCAGAACAAGATTTGTTTACTTTGAGTACTCATACGTAAAAAGATACATGTGTGGAAAAATGTCAAAGTAGTGGATAAATTTTTAGGTTTCTTCTTTTTTCAAACTTGTTAAAATGTCTTATTTATAGGGTTCTTTTGGCCTTTGTTTATTCTATTAAAAGAGAAAAATAAGCAGCTTTTATTATATACCTTGTCCAGAAAAAACTATTTCACCAGAGACTCAAGACCTATTTTACTAAGATACAGTCATAAAAATGAAAAGATTTTTTTTAAAGATTTTATTTTTAAGTAATCTCTACACCCAGTGTGGGGTTCAAGACCAAAAGTCACATGCTCTACCAGCTGAGCCAGCCAAGCACCCTATGAAAAGTAGATTCATTTTCCTTTTCAGAACTATCAAAAACAGTAACTTACTTAGAAAGAATTCCTCGAAGTCAGTTTTCTCCACACAGCTAGTATACATGCGCAGGGCCGCAATCTTAATCTTCTAGATAAGAAAAATAAAACCAAACTCAAGATATGACCAAGTGGATGTTCTAGTGCTATTAGACACAAGTCACAAAATCTTGTATTTGTTCAACTAGGATGATGAGTCCAAACTTGTCTCTAGGCAAACTTAATAGCTTAACCAATATCAATTCTATCCTTCTTTTCTTAAAGCCAACCATTCACAGACATTTTTTACATTTATGAGTTAGCATCAAAATGTCAAAAAGATTCTTCCAATATTTAAATGAAATCTCTCCTTTAATTCAAACTCATTTCATCACATTTGAGTCTCTATACCACTATTCAGCATCATTCACGTTAACTCTTTATAATCTGAAACCCTTTATATTAAAAAATTACCCATTCTTATGACCAAAATCAAACAAGCAAAAACAAAAACTTAAACAAAAAACAAACAAACAAAACCTCAATCCTTTGATCTTTCCTCAGAAGCACTACTATCTATTCTGTCTTTTTTATATCTTGGAGAAGTGATAATTTTTTTCTATATTTTCCCTAGTTTTATAGTTTGTTGATTAAGAAGACTGTGCATACAAATAAGGGTTTTTAGTGAATGTAAAAAAAATACAGTAAAAGGATCAACTGTTTACTATTCCCAAAAGCACTAAGAATTCTCTTAGTACCTTTATAAAACAATTTTTTTTAATGTTTATTTATTTTTGAGAGACAAAGAGAGCACAAGCAGGGGAGGAGCAGAGGATCTGGATGACAGCAGACAGCTGGATGCAGAGCTTGACCTCACAAACCGCAAGATCATGACCTGAGCTGAAATTGAGTCATATGCTTAACCAACTGAGCACCCCAAATTCTCTTAGAATCTTTATCTGAGTGGTGGTTTTAATTTATTCATTGAGTTGTATACTTAAGATTTGTATATTTTACTGTATGTACATTATGCCTTCATAAAAATAAATCTAAATGTGAAGAATAAATTCTTTTACGAGTTGAACTGTAGGCCTGAAGATCAACTCAGTGCTCAAGTAAGGAAGTATTTCCAAGGACTTTGAATTAAATAAATTAGCCCATCCACAACAAGCTTATAAGAAGCTTACTTTTTCTTAAAATGACAGAGAATTACAAACGCAAATATACAGACTAAAATAATCTACACAAACTGAGACTGAAACAGAAACTGAAGAAAAAACAATCCAGAACTTTAGCAAAGCTATGTTTTTAAGGTTCAAAGTCACCAAAAATATACTACATCCAATGTTATATAATGCTCATATTTCTCTATACAATCTAGAGTCAAAACAACAGTGTCTCTGATGGGCAGAAATACCTAGAATAAATTAAAGAAGGATTATGTCTCAAATTATAATTAAGATTTTTTTCTTTACTAATTTGAGATCTGTCACGTTTTCAAGGCTTTCAGAGTAAAGCTCATATGAGAGGAAACAGAATAAACATATAACAACTGGAAAACAGACATATCTACATGGGAAATAAATCAGCATTTGAAGCCAATTTAAGCAAACCCATGGGAAGTCACAAAAAAAGAAGAGCAAATTAAACCTAAAAGCAAGCAAAAAGATATAATAAAGAACAGAGATTCATAATATTAGAAACAGAAAAATCGCACAGAAAATCAAAGAAGCCAAAGCTGGTTCCTTGAAATTATCGATAAAATTGATAAAATGTAAGTAGAACTGATCAAGAAAAGAAAAAACAGGAAAGATAAAAATTAGCAATATCAGGAATCAGAAAGGAGGCACACCTGGGTGGCTCAATTGGTTAAGTGTCCAACTTAAGTTCAGGTCATGATCTCTGTCTTCATATTCTGTGTCTCCCTTTCTCCCTGCCTTTCTCTCGTGCCTTCGCACATGTATGCCCTCTCTCTCTCTCAAAAAAAAAAAAAAAAAAAAAAACACAAAAAAAAAAAAAAAAAGAATCAGAGAGGATACCACAACATATCCTAAGGATATGAAGGGAATATTATGAACATCTTTAGGACAATAGATTTGATTATCAGAGAAAATGGATAAATTCTTGAAGAACACACTACCCAAACTCCCTAGAATAAATAACATGAATAGTCCTGTATCTATTAAAGAAATGGGATTTGTGGTTAAAAAAAAAAAAAAAAAAACCTTCTCCAAAGAAAACTCCACATATTCAGACAATCTTCAACATCACTCAATGTTGATAGAAGGGGTGCCTGAGTGGGTCAGTTGGTCAAGGTTCTGACTTCAGTCTCAGGTCATGACCTCATGGTTCATGAGTTCAAGCCCCGCATCTGGCTATCTGCTGTCAGTGCAGAGCCCACTTTGGATCCTCTGTCTCCCATTCTCTCTGCCCCACCCCATGCTTTCCTCTCTCTCTCTCAAAAATAAATAAACTTAAGTTCATAGCAACACTCTCAACAATAGCCAAAACACAGAAAGAGCCTAAGTGTCCATCAACGGACGAATGGATCAAGAAGATGTGGTTAATCTATACGATGGAATACTACATGGCAATGAGAAAGAATGAAATCTGGCCATGTGTAGCAACATGGATGGACCTTGAGGGTGTTATGCTGAGCAAAATAAGTCAGGCAGAGAAGGACAGCTACCATATGTTTGCACGTTTAGGAGGATTAGGAGGAACTTAACAGAGGACCATGGGGGAGAAGAAGGTGGGAAATAGTGGGGGAGAGGGAGGGAGGCAAACCATGAGAGACTCTTGAATGCTGAGAACAAACTGAGGACTGATGGGTGTGTGGGGGGGTGATGAGCATGGAGGAGGGCACTTGTGGGGATGAGCACTGGGTATTGTTGGAAACCAACTTGACAATAAACTACTTATAAAAAACAAACAAACAAACAAATAAACTTAAAATAAAAGGATACTAAATCTACATAAACTGTTCCAGAAAATAGAAGGGAAATACACTTTCTAGCTCCTTCTACAAGGCCAGTATTACCCTGATATCAAAATCAAAGTCATTAGAAGAAATAAAACTATAGAGCCATAGCCTTCATGAACATGGATGTAAAACTCCTTGACAAAATATTAACAAATCAAACATAGCAATATTTTTTAAAGATTTTTTACTTTTAAGTAACCTCTACACCCAACATGGGGCTTGAACTCAACCCCGAAATCAAGAGGTGCACGTTCCACCAACTAAGCCATAAGGTACCCCAAATCTAGCAATATTTTTTTTTTTGAGAGAGAGACAGAGAGACAGAGACAGAGAAAGCATGAGCAGGGGAAAGGAGGAGAGGGAAAGAGAGAGAATCTTAAGTAGGCTCCATGATCAGTGCAGAGCCCAATGCAGGGCTCAATCCCACAACCCTGGGATCATGACCTGAGCTGAAATCTAGAATCGGACGCTCAACCAACTGAGCCACCTAGGCACCCCAATCCAGCAATATTTCAAAAGGATAATAAATCACAACCAACTGCGATCTATCCCTGGAATGCAAAGCTGATGCAACATTCACAAGGCAATCAATGTAACTCACCATATCAGCAGGCTAAAAAAGAAACCTATTTAACTTTGTTAACATCTGTAGCTCTTGGAAGTATTTGACAGAGAACACATTTTGGGAAGTACCAGTCTATACCATCATTAAACTAATGATATTCTAATATCATATCTTATTCTCTTGGCTTTGACGGGCCTACTTCTATTCTCAAGACAGAGCATTTAGGATATCTGTTAGCTCTTCACTTCATTCGACAAATAATTTATTGAGTATCTAACTGAGTGCCTGACATGGATTTGGATGTTGGGAATACAGCAGTAAACAAAGAAGTCAAAAACTCCTGTTTTCATGAAGCTTATGGCCTACTTCAACTACAGACACATTTATAATTTTTTTTTGCCTGTAAACATAAGAGAAGACATACAACTTTATTGGTAACCAAAGGAATACCAATTAAATTTAAAAATACCATTTCACACCATCTAATTTGTAAACATTAAACAGCTTGACAGTATCAAGCACTGGAAATGACATTGAACCTTTAAATCCTACTGATAGACATATAAACTGATATAACAATTGATAAGTATAACTTAAAAACTGATAAATACAAGTTAATGGAGCACCTGGCTGGCTAAGTCAGTGGAGCATTTGACTCTTGATCTTGAGTTGTGAGTTGGGTGTACAGATTACTTAAAATCTTAAAAATACAGCTGAAACTGTTCATACGCTAGTAACCCAATAATTATATTTTTCCTTCTCAAGCAGCTCCTGCACAATTTAAAACATACTATTATTATGAAAAGACTAAAACAAGTGTCGTTAGTAGAGGAATAGTATAGCTATAGTTTAATTATACAATGTGAAGCTAATCAGCAGTTGAAATGACAAAAATCAGCTCTCTACTCAAAAACATAATGTTGACATTATGTTTTTTCCTGGACAAATGTCTAAAACAAGTTGAAAAGTAAGACACCACTTATATAGCGTTTATGAACACAAAATAATAGTATATATGTTGTTTATGGATAATATATGAGTGGTAAAAGAAGAGAATTTTACAAGACGATGACAAAAACCAACTTAAGAATAGCAGTGATCTCAGTGGGGAAATGAAAGGGAAGAAAGGATAAATGGCTGGATTTTTTTTCTGCAAAACTTTATATTGGAAAAAATAAAACTAAACCAAATATGGCAAAAACTAGTATCTGTCAAATATGGGTACTAGTAAATAAATATCAACACATTTACAATTTTAAGTAAAATTCCTAATGGCCTATTTCTTGATTTTTAACTCTGCATTTTCTTTCAGATTCTTATATAGACAGTTCTCTAAGTTCATAATCAATTATTCTGCCTGAGGAAAGGCAGATCTACCACCATGACCCAAGTCATCCCTTGAGAAAGCTGTCTCTCGCATGTTCATGAAGAAAGCCTTCATCGCAAATAATGAAGACCTCAGCAGATTGGCCAGTGTATTTACACAGTGCTCATAATAAAATGGCAATCAGGAGTATTTTATAGTTGCTCGCTTTTCTTGCAGTGAAGCCAAGCCTTTATACTTGGGTGAGCCATTTTCCTGGACAAATGTCTAAAGCAAGTCCCCTAAGACCATCACAGAAGGACTGGAAATAACGGGGAAAGGATTTCTTCAAGATTCACATAGTAATTTAAGTTAAAGAGGTAAGTCAGCCTAAATTCCATCCTGTCAATACACATTGTTATGGTTCTCATCTGACTTCATGTTTATTTCATTCTAATTTTGGAAGACCTCATTGGTGTACTTGACGAAAACACAAGCACCTAAGACAGCTTTAAGAAATGAAAATCAGCTCTCCCACTGACTGAGGCATCTGGTACCATCTTACAAGATAAAAAATGAATGTAGTAAAAAGTCTGTACTAACAGCTGTGTGAGAGTTGGAGGGGCTTTGAAATCATTTGAACCTTCTATTCCATACTGAAATTCCTTCTACAACATTCTTGATTCACAGTCAACCATCTGGGCCACTGTTCAAACAAGTCCAATGACCTTGTGAGGTTACCTATCCCCCTAAAGGACAATTCTTGTTGTTAGATTTTTATTTTATTGAATGTAAATCTTCTTCATGTAACATTCATAAAACATCTACTGCCCAGCGGAATACCTTAGTTAGATTAAGTCTCTCTCTCTCTCTCTCTCTCTCTCTCTCTCTCTCTTTTTATTTTTTTACAAATACCTGAGAAGAACCATCATGATGTCTTCTCTTTTCCAGGCTAAGCATCCCTATTTCTTTCAACCTTTCTTCATTCAACACACTTTCTGAAGCCTTTACAAAACTCACTGCTCACTTCTGAATACATTCCAGTTTGTCAGTGTCCTTCAGAACAGAAATAATTTTTTGGCTTATTGCTAATCTGGAAACCACCTATTCTATGACATGTGGCTGAACCCGGTAAATGTCCTTGTTTTACCTGTATATTGCCACATAAAGATAATGGAAAAGAATGGTTATTTTAGGACAAATAAGTAAGGAAAAGCTACATTTAAATTCCTAAATATGAATCTAGAAGAAAAATGAAACTACAGATGACAATGTTATAGAAAAAAAAAAATGGAGGAAAGACAGTTGATATTGCCGTCAAGCAGATATTTTTCTCCCTAATGAAAGACATGTGAAAACACAAAACTCAAAGAATCTTTCCAGGGTAACCCAATACAAGGGTCTAGCCATAGATTTCTGAGTCAACATTTGCTGAAAAGGGCTTGCCATCTTTCAAAATGGAAAGTTATACCTATGTTTTCCCACCTACTATTATACTAGAATGTCATACTTTGATGTTTCTATCACAAATTAAAAAATAAAGGTTACAGAAAGTAGACACTGCCACATCACAAAAGATTTTGAAATGCAAATATTAAGCACTTTGTTGAGGTCACAAAGGAACCAAGAAAAATCAAAGGCTAACTTAAACTACAACAGTGAAGAAATTTTCCTGATGATTTAGTAATCCTCCAAATGGTAGCCAACTTTCCCTCTGGCATCATAAAAAAACAGCCTAGACAAAGCAATGGTAGCAACCAAGTGGAACTCAACCATCAAGAAATAAATAAAACAGCAAATTTTCCACTTTTTTTTCTTTCTGCTCTCATTTCCCTTCTCTTTTAATTAATTTCTAATTTTCAAACAAAACACACTAGCTTTTAAATGCCATAATCACATTTCTTTAATAAGGGAAAAGATTCTTGTTAAAAACGTTACCAAATATACCAATGATTATCATTTACAAAAAATTAAGATATAAAAAAGATAACTTTAATGAATATAACTAATATTTCACTGATGATTAACAATGCACATCATAGTCTTACAGTCTCAAGAACATCATTATTACCTAGGATATGTGTTATCTTTTTTTTCTTTTTAATTTTTTGTTGATGTTTATTTATCTTTGAGAGATACAAGAGCACAGAGAGAAAGGGAGATACAGAATCCAAAGCAGGCTCCGGGCTCTGAGTTGTCTGTATAGAACCAGAGTTCAATGCAGGGCTCAAACTCATCAATCGCAAGATCATGACCTGATCTGAAATCAGACACAACCGACTGAACCACCTAGGGCCCCAGATATGTGTTATCTTCTATACTTTTCAAAGCCCCTTAAAAACAGAATGCTTGGGGGGCCTGGTTGGCTCAGTCAGTTGAGTGTGTGACTCTTGCTTTCAGCTCAGGTCATGATCTCATGGTTTCGTGGGTTCGAGGCACACATTAGGCTCTATGCTGTGATACAGAGCCTGCCTGGGATTCCCTCTTTCCCTCTCTATCTGCCCTCCCTCACTTGCACTGTCTCTATCTCTCTCAAAAATAAATAAACTTAAAAAAAATTTTAAATATGCTTACAAAATTACCATTTGCTTTTTAGAATTTACGTAAAAAAGAGATATAGAGAAACCTATACTTGCTGCAGTGAGAATTATTAGGAAGAGAACCATACATTCCAAGAAGAAACTACAAATAAAGTCTGTAATAAAATTTAAATTCTAATTTGAATCCATCCTATTGAAATGGTATAACTGGCATTGTTTGATCATTTGGGGCAAAGCTTTTCTAGAAAAGTCCTTGTTAATGCTTTGCGTTGATTTGCTTTGATTAATACATAACTTATGATTGATTAGGCTTATCCAACATTCTAACAAACCTGAAAAGCATTAAAAGGCACTTCTGCTATAAAAGTAGAGAGAGAAATGCTAGCATCAGGAGATAACTGGGCTGAGAAAAACTCAATGGTTAATGTTTTATTACTTTAATTAGTTACAGGCATTGTTATAAAAACCCATGGGCATTGCAACTACGTGGATGGAACTAGAGGGTACCGTGCTAAGTGAAATTAGTCAGTGAGAGAAAAACAAATATCATATGACTTCACTCATATGAAGACTTTAAGATACAAAACAGATAAACATAAGGGAAGGGAAGCAAAAATAATATAAAAACGGGTAGGGACAGAAACATGAGACTCATAATTATGGAGAACAAACAGAGGGTTACTGGAGGGGTTGTGGAAGGGGGAAATGGGCTAAATGAGTAAAGGGCATTAAGGAATCTACTCTTGAAATCATTGTTGCACTATATGCTAACTTGGATGTAAATTTTTAAAAAATTAATAAAAATATATATATATATATACTTTTCATGATTTTTTCCCATGGCATAAATCTTAACCCAAGAGTAATATTTGGCTGTACCTAGTAAATTCTTGTTTCCTTCTTAAGATATAACCTAATTAAAATTGTAATAAGAAAAAAAACCTATTCATTAAATAAACTGAATAGTCTTACCAACCTGGTAAAAAAAAAAACTTTAAAAAAATAATAAAAAAATAAAAACCCATGGGCAATATACACCTGGTGCAGAGAAGATAGTCATTCATATATAGCAATTACTATGAAACAGATAACATGGTAGGCCAAGGCTTGACTAGGAATGACACAGCTAGCAAATAACCCTCCATAATGAGAATAGCAATAAACTGCAGAATTGATTAGTTAATTTGAAAAATGCTTACTAATAAAATTTTAACAAAAATCACTACAGTGACCTCATGAAAAAATCATTTATGAGTATGGATTCATCAGAGAGTAGTATTTCCTTAAGAATGCTACCCATCAGAAAAAAAAAAAAAAAAAAAAAAAAAGAATGCTACCCATCAGAACATCTGGCCCATCTACTTCCTTAAAACTCATTTGTATAGCATATCATGTAGAAAGAGCCTAGAAAGCCCAGTCTTAGCTTGCACTGAGATACTTCTAAGGAATCAGGTTCAAGGAACAGAGGGAGTATTTCAGCCCACATGATACACAGATCTGACTTAGAATGGGAATGTGGAGGGGGACAACACATTTTGAAGTTCTCAAAATAATGTATGAATTTCACAAAAGCAAAGTAGAAGCTTTAAAAAATCTTCTATGAGGAGCAGAGAGCACAAAGCCTGAAAAGAAAATGAGAAGAACTGAAAAAGACTTTACCCATTTGCTGTATTTCAAAGGTCCTGTAAATCCCATGGCTTCTATTATCTTCGTGAAGGCACCAACCTTCTCCTCAACAGGCTGTGGGGAATCCTTGGTAGTAAAAAGCCATTTAATCAAAAAGAAGGTGACAAAATTAGTTGCAAAATAATTTTTTTAAAAAGAATGCTTTTGTTTCTCATTAGGCCTAAGGGCATTTTTATTGCTTAGATTTTTTTTTTCACCTACAATTTTTAATTCTCATTTTTCTGAGCATCTTATCACTTAGTGCAAACACATCTGGAACTCCATCTAACAGATGACCTCAAAATTCAGAGCCATCTCACCGACCTTATGCCTATGAATTCATGTCTAGGAAATGACCGATTTGGGCTATCAGAATAAAAGTTCTATGGAAAACAATACTTATAAAAGGAAATCTTGACCCTCATCTCCCAAAGACTTCTGAAAAGAGGAATGTTGTATGTTTTTGACATAACAGGAAAAGGAAAGAAAACTACTATCTGAAAGCAGTCAAAAGTCATTCAAAATCATAATCGCCCAAACCAAGCACTGAATAAATGTTTCTAAACTCATGTTTTTTGGCCTAACAAATTTTATTAATAACTATAGAAGACACGAGTCTTGTAGTTTGCAAATAAACTCCAAGAAAAACCTATTCTAATGATAGGCTTCTCCAAATGAAGGCAGGCTATATAATCAATAAGAAATTTTCCAGGGGCACTTGGGTGGCTCAGTTGGTTGAGCATCTGACTCTAGATTTTGGCTCTTGATTTTGGCTCAGGGTCATGGGATTGAGCCCCATGTTGGGCTCCACACTGAACGTGGAGTCTGCTTGAGATTCGCTCTCCCCCCCAACCCGCCCTCTTCTCCACTCTCTCTCTAAAAATAAATTAATTAAAATTCTAAAAAAAATAAAAAAGAAAGAAATCCTGCAAAAGTTAAATGCTATTTTATTTTTAACATAAAAAGTCCATAACAACTTTCTTCTCTAAAGTGTTTTCCAGAGGCACCTGGGTAGCTCAGTCGGTTAAGCATCCGACTTCAGCTCAGATCTTGATCTCGCAGTCTGTGAGTTTGAGCCCTGCCTCAGGTTCTGGGCTGATAGCTCAGAGTCTGGAGCCAGAGCCTTGAACCTACTTTGGATTCTGTGTCTCCCTCTCTTTGCCCCTCCCCCTCCATCCCTGCCTCCCTCTCTCTCTCTCTATCTCAAAAATAAACAAACATTTAAAAAATAATTAAAAAAGTGTTTTCCAAGCAAGATACTACAGTGGAAGAAATACAGGACTCAGGATCAGAGAACTCTTAAGTTCAATATTCAATTGGCCTGTCACTTATCCTTGTGACCTTAGGCAAGTCAGTTTACTTCCTTGAGCCTCACCTTCTGCATTCAATAAAATTCCTTGCCTCATCCAGCTAACAATTTTGCTGAGATTCAAATAAGAACACCTGTGTGAAAACAGTCTATAAATGTAGAAAGCACTAATAATTCTCACCTTATTTGTGGTATGATACTTCCTATTCCACTGTACATCTATCCCAGGAATCTGTTCTGATCCACCACACACTAGGGACTGGCTTATCTGGGGCCACTGGGGATTAAAAAGACAGATATAAGCAACAGAGAGCATTCACTTAGTTAATCTGAGTACAGCTACTTCAAAGTAAAGATTATAGAATCTTTCCAATCTTGCTTAACCTAGCTCCTGGTGATGTGATCACCAAAAGAATCAAAGATGGGTATTAAAATGGTGTCTGGTACATGGTAGGTATTCAGTAAATATCTCCTGGATACGTGAATAAATTAAAGGATTCTGTCTTGGAAACCTGGAACTAAATAAATCTGAGTCAATTTTAGGAACTAGAATTGCAATAAATACCTATCTAAACATGAGCAGCAGCAGGGGCAGTTAAAAAAGACTCTTTTAACAGTCAGTTTTAAGTTTAAAACCTGCTTCTGACTGGGCACCTGGGTGGCTCAGTCCGTTAAGCGTCCGACTTCGGCTCAGGTCATGATCTCGCGGTTTGTGGGTTCAAGCCCCACGTCGGGCTCTGTGCTGATTGCTAGCTCAGAGCCTGGAGCCTGTCTTCAGATTCTGTGTCTCCCTCTCTTTCTGTCCCTCTCCTGCTCACACTGTCTCTCTGTCTCAAAAATAAATAAAACATTAAAATAATTTTTTAAAAAAACCATGCTTCTGCCACTTACAAGCTGGGTGGCCATGAGCAACTTACTGAACCTCAGTTGTAGGGAGGATTAAAGAAGATAACGCATGTAAAGTACCTTTCACAAGATAGTAAGTCATGGAAGCTTCCATCACCACCAATATCATCATCAACATCACTGTTGTTCAGATCAAAATTGCCTCCCTTTTATGTTCACACTGATTTGGATGCACTTTGGCAATAAAAATAACCATTATTTACAACTATCATGTGTCAGGTATTATGCTAAGTGCCCTATATGAGCTACCTTATTTAATCCTCACCATAACACTATTAGGTTGGTATTAAAATCAAGACTAATAAACACAGCTTTGAAAATTAATTCCTAAGGGAAAATTTTTTCAAGTAAGAAAGCCTCACTGTAGCACTATGCACAAGAGTGAAAACTGGAGGGGAGGGGGAAGCAATAAGAAGATTTCCAACAAGATGGTTAATTAAATTACAGCAAAATCATTCAATAGAAAATGAGGTAGTCCCTGAGATTTTTTAAATAGACTTTATTTTTTAAAACAACTTTAGCTTCACACCAAAATTGAAGAGGAAATAGAGAGCTCCCATAAACCCGCTCTCTATCCACTCCTCCTCCACTATCAGCATCTCCCAGCAGTGGCGCATTTGTTACAACAGATTAACCTACTCTGACACATCATTATCACCCGAAGTCCATAGTTTACATTAAAGCTCATTACTTCTGACAACATGGAAACATTTATATGTATAAAATTATAGGTAAAAACATGAATGTATATGGGCATCTCTAGAAAGAAAACATAAAGAAATGAAAGAGGTATGTTGTTAAAATTATGGATAAATTTAGGAATATAGTTTCCAAAATCTCAATACTATTATACTACCTTTACCCAAAAAGGGGTGAGAGGGAGAAGGAGGGTTACCCCTTTAATTCTGGTTTATTCCAGAAGAGAGTAGACACAGGAAATAAAAATGATTTTTTTCCTTTAATCCTAATGAGGGAAAAACAGAACTTCTAATAAAGAATTACCATTTACTGGGGCGCTTGGATGGTTCCGTCCGTTAGGCGTCTGACTTCGGCTCAGGTCATGATCTCATGGTTTGTGGGTTTGAGCCCCACGTCGGGCTCTGTGCTGACAGCCAGCTTGGAGCCTGGGGCCTGCTTTAGATTCTGTGTCTCCCTCTCTCTCTGACCCTCACCTGCTCACACTGCCTCTCTCTCTCTCTCTCTCTCTCAGAAATAAATAAAACATTAAAAAAAATTTTTTTTAATTACCATTTACTTTTCTTTCCAAATAAGGGTATTAAAAAATTAGTTAGGATTCTTCTAGTCAGTCCCAGGAATACTTATGCTTTAACTCATAGGTATTAAGCAGGCTTTGAAAAACAGACTAAACACAGAATACCTCCCATTACATCACATACATCAACGTAATGGTCCATCGAGAACACAAAGTACTTAAAACAGGTTCAAAGAACACAACTGACAACAATTTCAACTAGCAAGTTCTCTCCTACTAGATTATATGATCCTTCTCCCATAGCTCCAGGAGTAATGAATGGATGCACCAATAGCTGTATTTCTGTCTGACCATTATTCCTGAGTTAACATTAACACTATTTGAACCACTGAAGTACCCAGGTACTTAATACTAAGGACAACACCTAGATTCCCCATACCTACACATATCTATAAATACACACATTTACTTACTCGCCTCTCAGAAAAGACTCCCTTGACCTTTAAAGACATCAATTTTTTCCTTTATTTAAATCGAAAAGATACCAATAAATAACTTTTGTAAAAGAAAAAAAATACTCTGAAATATTCAAATGTCACTTTTTCAAAGAGGCCTTCTCTGACCATTTTACCTAAACATAGTTTCTTATCATCCCATTATTCTCTATCATAGCAGTAACCTGTTCATTTCATTTATAGTACTTATTGTAATATAAAATTATATTTATGAAACTTGCTTATTTTCTATCACCACTACCAAAAAGATTCATGAGGGTAGAAATTAGGTATATTACCAGAATCAAACATAGCATGTTAGATACGGGAAACACTCAAATGTTCATTGAATGAACAACCACTTACATGGTTATTTATTTCCTTCTTGTCCTTACCTACATATGTGCTGTGCGTGCATGTTATTCACCCAACCTTTATTAACTGCCCACAGTATGCCAGTCTTTATGTCCAGTTTTAGGATACAGACAATCCCTATCCTCGAAGAGCTGATAGTCTTGTGCAGAAAAGAAAGAAGACTCACACAAGAAACAGAACCAAGTATCATATTTTAAAATGATTAAAGATCATGCACACACACACACACACAGAAGTGTTAGCAAAGCTGCAGAACAACCAGAACTCTCACACATTTCTGGTAGGAGTATAAAATGGTACAATCACTCTGAAAAATTATTTGGCTATATCTACAGAAGCTGAATGCATACGCATTCTGTAAGACACAGCAATTCAACTTCTAAGCATATAGCCCAATAGAAATGTGTTCACAAAAAAAAAAAAAAAACAAGGAGAATGAATAAACTATAACCACATAGAACAATATTGATGAATTTCTAAAACAAAGTTGAATGAAAGCAGACAAACACAAGAGAGTACATATTGTTTTTTTAAAAGATAAAACTATTTTATGATATTCAAAGTAAAGACTGGTTAAACTTGCTTACGCGTGGTGACGGGGAATCAAGGAAGTTCTTGGGTTCTATTTCTTGATCTGAGTGCTGGTTAGTTAATCTTGTAGTTACTAATTAAGGTGTATACTTATGATTTATGCCTTTTTCTGTATTTTTATTATACTTCAATAAAATGTACAAAAATGCTTAAAGGTATGTAATGAATAGGGTAAACAAGAGAAATTTGGAGGGAGAAAAGAATTACCTACAGTCACCCAAAAAGACCTCACAGAGAAGCCTTAAGAAGTGGGCAGAATAGAGAAGGTGAGTCAGAAGACAAAGTTGAGGAAGCACAGTATAGTAGAAAACATTGAGTCAGAAGCCCCAGCTCTGCCTATCATAAATTTGTTTTGAGAACCAAATAAAACAAGGTGAAAAAGATAAGCAAATTGCAATACGTAACATAAATGCAAAGACCTGCTCCAGACAACTCCAATGATAAAATCTTTTGCAGGCAGCTCTCATTAAAATGAATGTAAGATTTCACTTTTATTTTATGCTTTCAGAAAGGTTCTATAAGTAAAGACCTCCCTGATCTAAAAAGAAAAAAAGGAGGGGGAGGAAAGGAAGGGGAAGAGGAGAGGAGGTAGAGGGGAGAGAGCAGGGAAGGGAAGGGAAAGGCAGAAGAAAAGGGAAGAAGGAAGAGTAGGGAAGAAGGAAAGGGATAGGGAAGGGGAGGGAGGGGAAGGAAGAAGGAGAAAGGGAAGGGGAAAGGGAAGGGAAGAAAAGGAGTAAGGGAAGGGAGAGGGAAGGGAGGGAAATGAGAAGGAAGGGAGAGGGAAGAGAAAGGGGAAGGGAGAAGGGAAGGGGGAAGGGAAGGGGAATAAAGGAAAGAAAGGAGGGAAGGACTCAAGAAATTCCTAAATTGTCAGTGTATATCTGCTCCATTAGTAAGCTCTACCAAGGCACAGTCTACCATATACTTCTTTTATTTTCTGTCCCATTGCTCAAGATCATTCTGGGCATAGAGTCGGCACTCAATAAAACTTAGGTAGAACTTTTTTCAAAAAAAATTTTTTTAAATAGAAGGACAATCTGGAGAAGATCCAGAAAATAACCACAGGAATGATCAAAGAGATGAATAAAAGGTCCTAGTGAAAGGTTAAAAGGAATTAAAATGAAAGGCTAAAATGTTTAGCTTGGAGAAAAAGCAATTGAAGAACTAAGGAGTAACTCAGAATAACAACACTTGAGCTGGAAGAAATCTGAGATCTAAGTCCAAACTTTTCATTTCACAGATGAGGAAACTAAGACTAGGGAGAGCTTGCAACTTGTTTAAGGTAGTTTTAGGAAATTAATTTTTTTGTTTCAATATATACAGTAAAGATGAAATTTACCCAAGTAGCATGAACATACAAATAGCAACAAAAACAGCAGTTACAATTTATTGAAGATCTCCTATATGCCCAGGACTTTTATGCTTGATGTTTTACTCGCATCATCTCAACAACTTTGCAAGGTTGGTATTATTTTTTTTTTCTATTTTATAGATGAAGATACTTAAGCCCAGAGAAGTAAAGTTCATTAAGGGATTAAACATACATTCAGAGCTATCTTCTTTCCCCTATTTCAAGCTGCTTTCAAAAACCTAAGCAGGAGTCAATAACATATGATCATGCACACCAAGCACAAAGATGTGGATTTCTAAACATTCCAAATACCATTCTCTAATTAAAGGAACCAAGGCTCCTTAGGAGAAACTGTTGAACCTAGGGCTAAAGCAAAGAAAATACAAGATAAACCTGAAACATCTTGTGGTGCTAGAAAATAAAGAATGTTTAAAAATGATGAAAGTATATAGAAAAGGAACTTGAAGGAGTTCCTAATAGCCAAACCTGGGACAATCTGATCAACAAAATAAATAATAGGCATAATAAGTTATAACTCATAGAAGGAAATAAATATCTATGAGCTCATACTCATATAAATAATTGAATAAATAAATGGAGAAGTGACACCTCTTCCTTACAGTATAATTCCAAGCAATAAATATAGTAGTAATGATGGAAATAGAAAATGATCTTTATACAAACACCACAGTAATGATTACTGCAGTCAAGAACCATCAATAGAATTACCACATGATGCAGCAATCTCACTTCTGAGTATACAGCCAAAAGAATCCAAAGCAGGATCTTGAAGAGATATTTGCATACTATATTAATACAGCATTATGCACAATAGCCAAGATGTGGAAGCAACCCAAATATCCATCAAATGGACAAAGCAAATGTGGTATATACATATAATGGAATATTAGATAACCTTAAAAACGAAGGAAATCCTGTCACATGCTACAACATGGATGAACCTTAAGGACATTATGCTAAGTAACATAAGTCACAAAAGGACAGATACTATATGATTCTACCCATATGTAATATCTAAAATAGTCAAAATCATAGAAGCAGAAACTAGAAATGTGGTTGCCAAGGGTAAGGTGGTATGGAATTAGTGTGTAATGGGTATAGAATTTCAGCTTAGCAAGATGAAAAAGTTTAAGAGGTCTATTGTATGACAATGTGAATATACTTTACACTACTAAACCATATACTTCAAATGGTTAATACAGTAAATTTAAAGCTATATGGGGTTTTTTAAGCCACAATTTTCAAATTAATTAATTAATGTTATATATCTAAAAAAAAAAAAAACCACTGATGAACGTTAAAAATAGTGAGCAAAAGTATAATGAGAAACAAGGTATCTGAAGAGTCTCTAAGTATCTGCTCACATGGTACTTACTAATTACAAAAGGGAAAAACATTAACTTAATAGTAGGGAAACCTGACAGACACCAATTTAATAAGCAAGTGATCAAAGTCAACGTCATCAGCAATAAGACACATTGGCATCATATATCCCCAGATATTATACACTAAGAAGGAAACATCACTTTTGCCAAAAATGCATAACCTAATTATAAGAAATCCAAATTGAAGAACCAAAAAAAGGACATTAGTAGAAAAGACTGGTAAAATTGGACTAAGTTGCATAGATTAGTTAATAGCATTATATCAATGTTAATTTCCTGGTTTCAGTAACTGCACTATAGTTATATAAGATTCTTAACATTAGAGAAAGCTAGACAAAGGCTATATGGGAGCCCTGCTACGTTTACAATTTTTCTATAAGTATAAATTACTTCAAAATAAAAAATGTTTAAGTATACTCATCAAAATTGTAACAGAGCTTTAAAATGTTTTTTTGTGTGTATTTATTTATTTTGAGAGAGAGAGGGAGGGAGAAACAGTGATGGAGGAGTAGAGAGAGAGGGGGACAAAGGATCCAAAGTGGGCTCTGTGCTGACAGCACAGATTCAGCACCCAAACTTATTAACTCCAAGATCGTGACCTGAGCCAGAGTCAGATGCTTAACCAACTGAGCCACTCAGGTGCCCCCAAATATGACGGAACTGTAAAGTTTATCTAGGAAAGACAGAGATGATGAGGTGCCTGGGTGGCTCAGCTGGTTAAGCGTCAGACTCTTGATTTTGGCTCAGGTCACGATCTCAACAGTTTGTGGGATCAAGCCCTGCCTCGGGCTTTGATCTTCCACTGACAGTGGAAAGAGCCTGCTTAAGATTCTCTGCCCCCTCCCCCGCCCTCCCTCCCTGTCTCTCAAAATAAATACTTTAAAAAAAAAAAAAAAAGACAGAGATGAGAATACAATGTCCCTAGCTTTTTGAAAATGATAACAGGATTATAGCATTGGACAGTACCTTAGAGATCATGTGATACTATCACTCAACCAACGAAGGCTTCTTTTATGTCATGCCCTTAGTATACAATCTTCCAACCATTGCCTGAATATTTCCAGTAACAGGAAATTTACTACGTCAAAATGCAGCCCACCCATCCCATGACACCATTAACACAAAGTTCTTCTTCATTCTGTGCTAAATATGCCTCCTAGTCAGACACGTACCTGAGGAAAACCACAGTTTTCCAACCAGGGGTCCTCTAAGTGGGAAGATGTGCCAATAAGGCACATATCTAGTTTATTTACACTGGCTAAAATTATATCTTGTCAGCACAAGATAAACCACTCTAAGTTATTTACATGAATGTTTTGCTATAATGCTGTCCCAGAATCTAATACAGTACCTGATACATATTAGATAGTCAAGAAATGTTTACTGATTCAAAGAATGAGGCACAAGTTGGAGACTCACACAATGAGTTCCTCCCTCCACCACCTATATACACACAAAAACAAATGACTTAGAACTCTATGATAATTCTACTAAAATTTTCCATGCACAAAAAGTAGCAGAATGTTGCCCAACTCTGAAAAGAAATAGCTGCATGCCTACACAAAGTAGATGCCTCTTCTGTACAGGCATATTCCTCATTCATTCAACATACATTCAGTGCCTTCTCTGTGCCAGGGTTAGTGAGAAACCCAGGAAATATAGGCACAAACAATACATGTCCTCATTAAGGGAAAGGCTTACATACTAGCTAGAGGGAATTATACTATATTTTAAATAGTTTTAATATATTATATTTATATGAATAAAGTATATATGATTATATATCAAAAATAATTTTAATCACATCACATATGAAAAAGTTACTGGCTACAGAAGGAATTCATATAAATTGGTTAAGAATTTAAATTCATATAAATTTATAAAATTTATAAATTTATATGAATTTAAATTTATTTAAATTTATAAATTCTTAAAAAAGAATTTATAAGAATTCCCATAGATAAATGGAGAAATGATATAAGCATATGATTTTTACAAACTAGAATACAACTGATAAACAGAAAAATATTCAACCTTGATGGATGAACAAAGAAATACAAAGCAAAACAAGGTAACATTTTCTACCCAGTTAGTTTAAATTTTTTTAAACACCCAATTTAGAGGAAGTTAATGAAAAGTTAGTTATATACATTGCTGATGGCAATATAAATTAAAACAATCTTCTGGAGAGAGAAACTGCTCACATTCATTGACCCAAGGTATATACCCTCCTAGGAATTTATCTTTAATAAAGTAAAAATTTTAAAAACTATCAAGAAATGGTAACTACACTAAAGCCTACAAAGGCAAAAAAAAAAATTGCAAATAATTTCAGTATCAAACAAAGCCTAAGTAAATAGAATAACACGTAGCCATTAAAAAATATAATTATGCAATCTATCTAACATGAATAATGTCTGCTCCAATAAGTGAAAAAGCACCAGAAAATAAAATTCTGTGGATATTTGTTAAGGTATCTATGGAAAAAATTAGCACGCGCACACACACACATAAGGACTGGGAAAAAACCAGCAGATGTTTTCACATTTGAGGTCATGGGTGATTTTTATTTCCTTTATTACTAAATTATTTGTATAATTAACAAATATCAGGAGAAAATACTCTCAAGGAGGGTCCAAAGTAATGAATCATGTGGTCAATGGTAAACTAAGGCCTCAAATAATTGTTCCTTGGATTCTGTATTCATAAAAAGAAAAAAAAAGAAAGGAAGAAACATTTCTTACCCCAAATAAAAGTGGCACAGTGTGGCTACAAAAAGAAAACTGCAGTTAACTCTGAGATGAATATCTGGAAACATTCCAAACAGTAAAAATCATCAGACTGTAGCATGGTATCCTAGGCTAAGTTCCACTGCTGGGGTATTTAGAAGCAACGCCCTAGACACCATACTGTAAGAATCAGTCCTGAGCTGGCACCACAGAGACCCAGAAGTGGTCTCATGAGGTTTTTCCATCACACAATTTGTTTGGCTAATCTATAAATACATGACATTTGCAAATAAACACTAAGGTTTTCATACCAAGCAAAGGAACAACAAACCTTACCTGGAAAGTACCAGACAGAGCCCTGCCCCACTGTGCCTGTGTAGAAGACACAGGTACCAATCGGCTGCATACTGGAACCCACTGGGAAATCCGGTTCCTCTAGAGAAAGAAAAAAAAAAGACTGTCAAGAATCTATATCCAACTCCAAGAGTAGAAGTTTAGAAATTCTGCCAGATCAGGGTACATGAAAGGAGAACTTCAAAAACAGGGCCAGGAACAAGCTTTCTCATGCTCATCTCTCTAAGGTATTTTATCTTTAGAGAAGTACCCCTGCCTACTTCTAATCCATGGACTAAAATAACTCTAGTAAAGGCTGACTCAGGCAGGGGACATGGGCTCCCTCTCAGGAGAGTAACAAAATAAGCAGACTTCAGGCATTTTACAATTAAATTATCATTTAAATGAGAGTCTGCAATGCCTTTTCATAAACACTGATTTATCTGATCTTCACAGAATCCCTTTATAGTAAGCAATGTGGAATTACTATCATCCCCAAAAGGATGAAGAAACTAAGGCTGACATTTTTAGGGTAAGAAAATATACTATGTCAATTTGATTTCCAAAACAAAAGAGAGAGATTAAATGGCTGTTAAGAGTTAATGACTGAAGTTCAGTTTCCCCCTCAGGTACACTAACTGACCTCAGAAAGGTCTCGGGGCCAAAGCGAAAGACTAGGCTGGGGAAAGGAAGAGCTCTATCTTGCTACATGAGAAGCCTACTCTATATTATGAACCTGAAATACATTCCACTGTATAAATGGCATTCATGTACACAGTACTGGAGATGTCTATTCTAGGAACCAAGTCTGAGGGATCCAAGGGTTTCTTTCATTTGGCCTATATATAACTTATAGGGCCACAATGAGGGCTGGATATAAAATTGTTTTAAAAACACTTTGCCTTGGGGCACCTGGGTGGCTCCAGTGGCTCCTTGGTTAAGCGTCAGACTTCAGCTCAGGTCATGATCTCACGGTTTGTGAGTTCGAGCCCTGTGTTGGGCTCTGTGCTGATAGCTCAGAGCCTGGAGCCTGCTTTGGATTCTGTGTCTCCCTCTCTCTCCCTCCCTCTCCGCTGCTCGCTCTCGCTCACTCGCTCTCTCTCTCAAAAATAAACGTTAAAAATTTAAAAAAAAAACGCTTTGCCAAACATAAACTACAATTCTAGGAGTCAAAGATCTGGATTCTAGTTTTAATTCAGCTATTCTAATATGATCTTTACAAGTAACTTATTCTCTACAATGCACAGGTTCCTTACAGCAATTATTAGTAATGCTTACGAGCATTTGGTCTGTGACGGGCACTTTCCTAGGTACTTTACATATATAAACTCATTTAAAACTCACAATCACCACTCAATGACCTAGGAATATTGCTACTATTCCACTTAAATGGATAAAGAAACTGAGGTATACAGAGAATAAGTAATTTCCCAAGGTCACATAGTTAATATAATGGCAGGGTTAAGATTTGAACCCAGACAGCCCAACTCCTGGATCCATGCTCATTTATGGGATGAAAGGCTAAAAGGAATATCAACAAAGTATCTTCTAACACTCTGAACTAGTCTTAAAACACAGTATAGTATAGGGGCAAGAGCCATGTATTTGGAATCAAAAAGCACTGATCTGACTCTTGGCTCCACTGAAAGCTACAAGCCTCTGTTGCCTCTTCTATAAAATAAAGAAAAAAATCCCTACTTCTCAGGATTTAAGAAAAACATGTCCAACTCAATAAATATTAAGTTGAATCTGAATCTCCATTTCCTCATGAGTAGGCAAGAAGGGATAGGAGTGATATACATGGAGAAAGATGCAGGAATTTTAAACTCAGAGAGGCTTTCCAAAGTGTCTCGCAGTTTTAAAATCGTGTAACTTTTTAATAAGCTACTCACAACATCTTATGTTTCAAATGAAAAGTAAAGCTTCAAAATATTTTATTTCAGCTGAAGTTTGATCCGTTGGGATAATGTTCAAATAAGAGAGAAAGTTATTGGCTTTTTGTTTACTAATGTAGAATCATTTACCAGAATCACTCAATGTTAGATGTTCCTTTCCTAAAAATGTAAATACGGGATTCAACTTCTGCAGATTCAAGCCCAAGGGAGGCGGGGCGGGGGAAGTAAGAGGAAATTACAAGTAGGAACAATGCAAACTTTTGGAAGATCTTCTGAAGAATTTCATCATATTTTTCCCCACGTCAACAAAATTCTTCTCTGTAATTTTGGTTCTACTTGGTTTTATGCCAATACTTTAAATCAGTTCTTATTAGAAGAAAGAAGGAATCAGCTCTGTTCTTTCCTTCTCCAATCCTACAACAACAATTCTTGTCCAAAGCCTTAACTGAAACTGAGGTGTAGCAGAAAGGGTATTTGAATCCCAAGACTGATATTAAATAGCTGTATGACCCTGAACTAGCTACAACATTCTGGACCTCCATTTTCCCTTATGTAAAGTGGGAATAATAAAAGCTACCTCACAGGAGTGTTCCAAGGATCCTATGTAAAAGCACCTCCAGAACACTAACACACACACAAAAGCATCATTATTGTTATTAACAATTGTTACTGAATTATGTAAGTAAGCTTCTCTTCCACCAGCAAACTACCACAGAAGCAAGAAGTATTTTCTTAAAATATTGTCTTGAACCTGGGAATTCCTTTTCTCAAAAGCTCACAGTGCCTCCAAGTGCCCCTTTAATCAAACTTCAACATCTGATCTTTACCAACTAGACCCCTCTAGAACTCATTTTTATATTTACATACTGTCTTGTGTTCTCCATTCAGCAGTTCCAAAACCTGACTCAGATTCTCTGGTTTGGGAATTACGACTCCTCTCCACACAAGCTAATTCCCTTCTAGTTAGTTCCTCTGGGACTCTCTTCTTCCCTCCTACCCAACCCATGAGTTCATTAGCTTCAAAAAGTCTCCCCAGGGGCACCTGGGTGGCTCAGACCATTAAACAATTGACTCACAGTTTCAGCTCAGGTCATGATCTCAAGGTTTGTGAGTTCAAGCCCCACACCATGCTCTGCTCTGACAGTGCAAAGTCCACTTGGGATTTTCTCTCTCTCTCTCTCTCTCTCTCTCTCTCTCTCTCTCTCTCTCTTTCAAAATAAATAAATAATCTTTTTTAAAAAAGTCTCTCCAGACTCTAGGTACTGGTTCTCCTGACTCTATTTGGTCCATTTTCCTTCCACTTCTCCCAGTACTTCATTTATAAATATAAGTTTATGCAAGTGCCTGGGTGGCTCAGTCGGTTAAGCATCCGACTTAGGCTCAGGTCATGATCTCACGGTTCATGGGTTCAGGCCCCATGTAGGGCTCTGTGCTGACAGCTTAAAGCCTGGAGCCTGCTTCAGATTCTTCCTCTCTCTTTGCCCCTCCCCTGCTCGCTCATTCTCTCTCAAAATTAAATAATTTTTTTTAAATTATAATAAACAAATAAAAATCTGTGGAAGGACTTACCTCCCTCTTATAGGTACTAACATATTAGGCCTATAACAATTAACAAACCTCAACTTCCAAGTTCAGGAAAACATTTATAGCCATTTCTTACAATTAGAATTACTGCCTTAACTTGGGATAATATATACACTATTAGTAAGCAGGAAGTTGTTTTACTGTCTTTTTGCCTCACCAACACTTCAAAACCAAAATCTTAAAGATGGGTTTCATGTTTTTATTTCCTTGGCATACTGTTAAATGCAGGTGACTTTACATTTGTATTTCAAATTATTCTGATGGACCAGTTTTTCAACTACAGCTTTAATCAGTCCAGACCAGTCTGTTGCTGCATATGCTTTTTAAGATACTGTACACAGTATTTTCCTTGGCTTACTAATGAATTGGAGAAGGCTTTACAGGCAGTCCATTCTCCTATTCTCCATAGTTTTGTTTTATAAAGTGACCACAAACACTGAGTTAGCAAAACTGAACCACTGCTCCAAAAGGAAATATAGGGTTAGGTTCCTACAAGCCTCTGGGTCACAACATTTTCATCAACCAATCAATATATAACCTTGTATGTTTCTCTTTAAAAACATCTTATTATTTATAAATTATTTATAAATATACTGTTAACTCATTAACATTGAACTCATGACCAACAGCACTATAACTCACTCCCGAATGAAACCCAGGGGCGCCTGGGTGGCTCAGTCAGTTAATCATCCAACTTCGGCACAGGTCATGATCTCACAGTTCGTGGGTTCGAGCCTTGCATTGGGCTCTGTGCTGTCTCCCTCTCTCTCTGACCCTCCCCTGTTCACACTGTCTCTCTCTCTCTCTCTCTCAAAAATAAAAATAAAACATTTAAAAATTTTTTTTAAAAACAGAAACTTTTCTAACACATAAATTTTCTCTGTAAAGAACATCACAGCCTTCTTGCACTTAGTAACACTAGATACTACATTTAGGGGCCATATTTAACAGGGAAATCACCAACAAGGTACAAAAATGCAAAAACCGTAGCATTAAAAAGACTATGAAAATGATACTTATTTACAGTACAAGAGCTAAAATAAGAGGTCAGCATATTGATCTCAGCTAGGACTTGCATGTTGAAGCTCAAATTTTCCACTCCTCTGCATTTACATATCTGTAAATGATGGTAAAAGTACCATTAATATTGATTTCGGAATTATAAATAAGTCTTAGCAAGTATACTGAATTCAAAAATACAGAATCTGTGAATGATGAAGATCAACCATACATCTACTCTGTAAATGTCAACTGGTCCCTGTACTCTGAATGCCATGTATACTAATTCACTTCCACAATCCAGAGGATAAACACTACTGTAGCAAACTGTCCTGCAAGTTACAAAGTGGCATGCTACAAAAGGATATTTACACAGACAGAGGAAGCAGAGAATGTTCAACCATTCCTTCCATCATTACTGAATACTCTGCCTCCTCCCACTTTGTTGGGGGTGTCCAATCTGAGCTTTAAAAGATTGATCACATGTGGGAAAGATTTGAGCATATCTATAAATATATTAAGATTGAGCATATCAGTAAATATATGTATTAATTATTATACACATTAAAGTCTCTAGTGGAGAAAGGAGTTAAATATGAAAAGGCTGAAGGGTACAATAAACCC